TGGGATTTAAGTTACTTGAAATAATATGTACTAATACATTCTTTAAACAACTTTTTATTATTTACTTTTTATTACGGGCACGTATTTTTATTGTTGAAAATAATATTAACTAAAATTAAAAAGTAATTTTGTTCATGCATACTTATGTTGTCAAATAAAACTCTTATTTTAACATATTAACACAAAAAAAGCACCGTGCATCTTTCAACACAAATAAATATAGTGTCTTATTAATTTTAAACTCAATGTATAAGCTAACATAACCCAATGAAGACCAATATTCTTATAAAGTTAGTTCGCTGTAACTTAAAGTACTTTAAATAATATTGACTAAAACATTATTAAAGTAACTCATTGTATTTTTAATGTTGAAGTTGATATTAATTAAAATTATTAAGTCAATTAGAAATATTGTTCATGCACACTCATGCTATCAAATGAACATCTTATAATAACATATTAACACAAATAGGCACCGTGCATGTTTCAACACAAATAATTATAGCCTCTTAACAGTTTTAAACATAATGTTTAAACTAACATAACCCAATAATGAGCAATATTATTACAGTTTTATTTCATGGTAATTTAAGTTACATTAAATGATATATTATTAAATAATTATATTATATAAATTAATATTTATAAGACTTTTTTAAAGTAACTAATATTTTAATATTAATAATAATAATAACAATAATAATAATAATAATAATAATAATAATAAAATAATAAAATTTTAATAATAATAATAATAATAATAATAATAATAATAATAATACTGTTTTATGATAATAAAATACAGTAAAAATAACAACTAAAACTAATAAGTCATTTAGAAGTATTGTTTATGCACACTTATATTATCAAATAAAATCTTATAATAACATATTAACACAAATAAGCACTGTGCATGTTTCAACACAAATAATTATAGCCTCTGATCAGTATTAAACGAAATGTATAAACTAACATAACCCAATAATGAGCAATATTATTACAGTATTATTCCATGGTAATTTAAGTTACAATAAATAATATATTATAAGACTTTATTAAAGTAACTCATATTTTAATGTTGAAATAATAACTAAAACTAATAAGTAATTTAGAATTATTGTTTATGCACACTTATATTATCAAATAAAATCTTATAATAACATATTGACACAAATAAGCACTGTGCATGTTTCTACACAAATTATTATAGCCTCTGATCAGTTTTAAACTTCATTAGTCATTAATTTATAAGCTAACATAACCCAATAATGAGCAATATTGTTACAGCTTTGGTTCATTGTAATTTAGGTTACATTAAATAATACTTACTAAGACATTATTGAAGTAACTTATTAAGTAGTTTTTTAAAATGTTGAAATTGATATTAAGTGAAATGAATATATCATTTAGAAGTGCTAATCATGCACACTTATGTTATCAAATGACAATCTTATAACAATATATTAACACAAATAAGCACCATGTTTCAACACAAAATAAATATAGCCCCTATCAGTTTTAAGCGTAATGTATGAACTAACATAATCCAATGATGACCAATATTCTTACAATGTTAGTTTGCTGTAACTTAAGTAACTTTAAAAATACTATGAGTTAATGTATTAGTGAATATTTTTTGAAGTAACTTAAGTTACAGCGAGCTAACATTGTAAGAATATTGGTCTTCATTGGGTTATGTTAGTTATCTAATTAAGTTTAAAATGAATACGATTCTATAATTATTTGTGTTAATATGTTATAATAGGATTTTCACTTGATAACTTAAGTGTGCATGAACAAAATTACTTAATCATTTTAGTTAATAATAATTACAGCATTAAAAATGCAATGAGTTAATTTAATGTATTAGTAAATATTATTTAATCCTGAAATTATTATTAACTAAAAATAATAAGTAATATTGTTCATGCACACGTATGTTATTAAATTAAAATCCTATAATAGCATGAACATACAAAAAAAGCACTGTGCATCTTTTAACACAAATAAGTATAGCATCTTATCAGTTTAAAACTTCATTAATTAATGTGTAAGCTAACATAACCCAATGATGAGCAATATTGTTACAGTAATAGTTCATTAAAATTTAGGTTACATTAAATAGTATTTACTAAGGCAATAATAAAGTAACTCATTGTATTTTTAAAGTTGAAATTAATATTGATTAAAATTAAGTCATTTAGAAGTATTGTTCATGCACACTTATGATATCAAATGAAAATCTTTTAATAAAATGTTAACACAAGCACCATGAATCTTTCAACACTAGTCTCTTATCGGGTTTTAAATTGCATTAATTAATGTTTGCAATAACCTAACATTGAGTAATTTAAGTTGCATTAAATACTATTTACTAAGACATTATTAAAATAACTCATTGTATTTTCAATGTTGAAATTTTAACTAAAGTTATTAGGTCATTTAGAAATATTGTTTATGCACACGCATGTTATCGAATGGAAATCTTACAATAACATATTAACACAAATAAGCACCGTGCATGTTTCTACACGAATAATTATAGAATCTTATCAATTTTAAACTTCATTAAATAATGTATCAACTAACAAAACCCAATGATGAGCAATATTAGTTCAATGTAATGTAAGTTACATTTAATAATATGGTAAGACTTTACAATAAGGTTGTATTAGTTAATGTGAGTTAATGCATTTACTAACATGAACAAACAATGAACAATACATTTACAACAGTATTTTTTTCATGTTAGTCAATGAAAATGCAGTTGTTTATTGATAGTTCATGTTACCTCATGGTGCATTAACTTATTATAACAAGCAAAAACTTAGATGCTAATAATGCATTAGTTAACATTGAACTATGGTTAATAAATGCTGTACAAGTATTGTTAATGTTCCTGTTAGTAAATGCATTAACTAATGAACCCTATTGTAAAGTGTGACCAATAATATTTACTAAGACATTATTAAAATAACTCATTGTATTTTTAATGTTAAAATTGATAATAACTAAAATTCTTAAATAATTTAGAAGTATTGTTCATGCACACTTACGTTATCAAATGAAAATTGTATAATAACATATTAACACAAACCATGAAGCTTTCAACACAAATAATTATAGCCTCTTATGAATTTTAAACTTAATGTGTTAACTAACATAACCCAATGATGGGCAATCTTATTACAGTATTAGTTCATTGTGATTTAAGTTACATTAATATTTACTAATATATTATTAAAATAACTCATTGTATGTCAGAAGTATCGTTCATGCACACTTATGTTATCAAAATGAAATTTTATTATACCACATTAACACAAATAAGAACCGTGCATGTTTCTACACAAATAATTATAGCCTCTTATCAATTTTAAGCTTCATTATTTAATGTACGAACTAAAAATAACCCAATGAGGAGCAATATTGTTACAGTATTGTAATTTAGTTTCATTAAATAATATGGTAAGACTTTACAGTAGGGTTGTAGTTAATGCTATGCACAATATGCTATAAACAAACAATGAACAATACATTTATTACAGTATTTGTTCATGTTAGTCAATAAAAATACAGTTGTTCATTGATAGTTCATGTTAACTCACGGCGAATTAACTAATAAAGCATTAGTAAATGATGAACTATGGTTAATAAATGCTGTACAAGTATTGTTAAGACGTCGTTCCTGTAACTAATAAACCTTAATGTAAAGTATGACCCATAATATTAACTAAGGCATTATTAAAATAACTCAATGTATTTTTAATGTTGAACTAAATAATAACTACAATTCATAAGTCATTTAGAATTATTGTTCATGCACACTTAAGTTATCAAATGATAATCTTATGATAACATATTAACACAAATAAGCACCATGCATGTTTCTACACAAATAAGTATAGCCTTTTATCAATTTTAAACGTCATTAATTAATGTATAAGCTGACATAACCCAATGATGAGCAATATTGTTACCGTATTATTCCATTGTAATTTAAGTTACATTAAATAATATTTACTACATTATTAAAATAACTTATTGTGTTTTTAATGTTGAAATTAATATTATGAAAATTAATAAATGCACACTTATACTATCAAATGGAATCTTGTTAAATTAGGTATAAACCAGTGTGCACACTTTAACACAAAACATTTAAGCCAAGTTTCTTATCAAATTTGGGAAACCGAAAATGATGAAACACGAAAAAACACCGTCCCAAATGACTTGATGTGTATCTCTGAAAACAGAAGGAGCGGATAAATAATGATAGGAAACTCAAATGAGCAGCTCTGTCTCTCTTTTTCCAGGTCTGATCTCCGTTCATTGATCGGTTTTCACTAGGTCAGATGAGATTTTAGAGCTTCAGTCTGTCATTGTTGCCGTAGTTTGAAGCAAGGGATTAAATTACACCCATAAGACCACCGGCAAAGCCACAGAACAGACCTTTATACTACCACAATGGTCTGATATTCACTAAAAAAAACCCAATCTGGCTACTTTAAAGAAAAAAAAAAACAGAACGCTTATTTATTAAGTTAAATGCAATGCGATGTTAATAGTTTTAAATAAATGCAATATTTTCCCTCAAACTAATTATAAATAGAATAAACAACTTTTATTGCTAATATTTCTCGTTTGAATAGTGCTAAAAATTGTCCAAAAAAAGATCTTTCATGTATAAAACACTATTAAAAAATTAGCCCGCGCTAAATAGACACCCATAAAGGCGCGTACACCTGGTAACCATAGCAACCGGTGAGATCAAAGACCCTTTAAGTATTCCATAACCTTTGATCAGTTTACACATGTGATATACAGTGAACACATATGCTACATATAACACAATAGTCATAAATAAATGAATAAATAAATAAATAAACACATAAATAAATTGGCTATTTTGCTCGGTTATAACACAGATGGCAAAGACGTTTTCGGGAAACATGCCACTAGAAAAATAAAGTAGCTAAAGTGGATATAGTTGAGCTGACCTGTTTATGGAGGAGACACTGGGGACGGTGTCGTTATCACAGATGCCCTCCGCCAGCAGCCTGTCCCGGATCTCCCAGGCGAACATGGTGGGATTTTGTCTTTTGTAGTCCGCTATTTTATCCACCACTTTCGGCGTGGCCACTTTAGGCTTGGATCCTCCGATGACTCCAGGTTTTATGCTGCCAGTCTCGTAGTATCTGCGCGGAACACGTGTAAATCTGATTTTCATATAACATGACCGCAGCGAATGACAATACTGAACAACAGATGCGTTGTAACAAAGCCATGAAAATGTTTTATCTAAGCTACTTAACACGGCCCATAGCAGAACCGGTAGGAAATTATCATATGATTAGAATACTAATTTCAGATTTTGCGCAGCAGGACATTAAACAGCCCATCTGTTTTAGTCACCCACTTATTAACATTAGATCAAATCTGCTTGAAAACGGAAGCTTGCGTGTTTCTGGACATTCACAATCAATTGAAGTTGAAAACGTGTGTGTAATAATAAAGCAGATCAATTATTTAATGAAATGGTCATGCGGCGATTTAGCCAACTCATTAGCATTTCTCCTTCTGCGTTTGTTGTTTTTTAAATAACCCGAACTAACAAATTAATTTATTTTAATCATTTATGTAATCGTTTCAGATCATCGGTTAGTAAATAATTGATTTATTCCGCCTGTGCACACAGTTCTGATTGCAGCACACTGTCAAAATCAAATTGATATCTTTTGCTGAAAACAATTAAAGCACACATTTTTAGAGGGAAACTTGTTTTTGGGGACATAATAATAATCATAAGTACAGACAATTCCGAATTTAACGCTCATAATCGGAACAAATGCACACATTATATTCAGCTGAAATATAGTCTTTTTATTATCTTCCATAACAGCAATATGTGTGGGGTTCTCAATCTAAAACTATGCGTTTTAATATGTGTGCATATTGTGTTTTATGCACTCTTATTCACTGAGAGTACATTTGAACTTGTTTAATTTTACATTTTACAATAAGGTTTCATTAGTTAATGTATTTACTAACATGAAGTGCAAAACTTCAACATTTACTAATGCATGATTAAAATCCAAATTAATTATTGTTAACATTAGTCAATGCATCGTGTGTTAACATGTACAACGACTTTATTTTCATTAACAAACGTTATCTATGAATACTGTAATATATGCAGAATTCATTGTTTGTTCATATTAATAAATGCATTATCTAACATTAATACAACCTTATTATAAAGCGAAGGTTAAAAACCACACTCTCACAAATAAAGGTACAAAAGTTGTCACTGGGTTGGTGCAAAATTACAAATGCTTATCTTTTGATTTTTTAGTATACTTTTGAGGTACCAATATAGACTATAAGTACAAACGCGTCCCTTTTGAAAAGGTACCACCCCAATAAAAGCTCTTGTGCCTTCATTTCTGTGAGTGCAGATGATCAGCGGTCTCAGCGCACAAAAATACATCAATTAACGCAATGCTCTTAAAGGGTCAATGTTTGACTGGGTACACTAAAAAACAGATTCATTAGATTTCTATATTTTTAAAGGTAAATGGTTGCAAACTATTTATATGGGGTGAATTTAAACACACATTAAGTTGAACAACATTTAATTTGTTTGTTTAAATTCAACCCATATAAATTATTTGCAACCACTTACTTAAAAAAAAAAAGTAAATCCAATCAATAATATTTTATGTGTACCTTTATTTGAGAATGCAGATGATCACAGCACAAAAAAATAAATCAAGTAACGTTGTTTTTAAATGGTCCATGTTTGACATTTCAGATCTCTCCACATTGGATGGGGGTCTCACCTGCCCAGGATCTTGCTGACGCAGCCGTGACTGACCCTCAGCTGTCGGGATATGTCGCAGGGTCGGACCCCCTGATGCGCGAGCTCCACGATTCTCTGGCGCACGACGTCAGGTAAAGGCCTCCCGTTGACGAACACCCCGCCCAGCTGGTTCACTCCCCCGTGCCCTATACCGGAGACAACAACAACAAACACCCACAACATAACATTACATACAGGCCGCCGGTCACAGAGTCCGGCACATTCGATCGTCCAATTAACAGAAGATCCGCCAGTGAGAAACCACAGATTAAACGGCGAATTTCACTTTGTGTGCGTGATTTTACTCACATTAAGCAACGAATAAACAAACGCAGACGAATATATGCAGTTATGAAATAATTTGGCAATTAAAATTGCGTTTTTTTTGTTATTGTTTAGGTTAGTGTTTACACAAAACATGCATAATCTGTATATGTTAGCTTTTATTTTTTATTTGGAATATCAAATATTATTTTTACGTAGGTTGTTTTAGATTATATTTACAATTGTTTTATATATTATGCACATACACTTATACTACATAGCAGAATAACTATATATATATATATATATATATATATATATATATATATATATATATATATATATATATATATATATATATATATATATATATATATATATTAATAGGCTATAATCATTGTTATGACTAAAACACGATACCATAAGCTAAATGTAAATATATTTTACGTTTTTTCAATCAATATTATTTTGAAGCGTTTCCCAATATCAACTACAAAACATCAACCTAGAGATATCAATTATTTTCGCATATCTGCTTTCCATGGATGTATATTAAACTGTGGCTTGTTCTTGTCGAAACAATACTGGGGTTTGTTAGTCGTAGGTGAGCTATTAAATTACACGAGCATTTTTGTTTTCTTTCTCTGGATGGGCTATAAATTATTAAACAGTTTTGTTTGATCAAATTACATATTGTTCATCTCAGTTGAGTTGTTTTCTTAAAACATTCATAGTTGTATTTAATTAAAAGTCGGTACTTTGATGCATTAAAAAACGTGATGGCTAATTTCATTATTTTTTTATTAATCATAGCTATTTCATGCTCAAAAAAATTGTTTCACTTTTTTAATGTCTTGCTGCTTTTTTAAAATAGTTTTTTAAAAATAGATTTTATTTTTCTCAATTGTACTTTTTTTACTCTTAATTTTCTCGAAATACAATGAACTATGATTTTATATATATATATATATATATATATATATATATATATATATATATATGAGGTTAAAAATTATTCCAGTGAGGGTGTTAATTGGCTCAAATGTGATGAAGAAAAAAAACACTCTCCAGATAAACTCCAGTGTAACTCACGGTGCATGGCGGAGAAGGGGTCTGCCTTACAGTGAATATCCATCGGATAACCGAGAAAAGACAGATAATCAACTGAAGTCGCCGTCTCGTCTTTCTTACAACACAGAACAACTGAAAGAATCGAAGAAGGACGTAAGGTGAATCCAGCCGAGGATATCGGGGGAAACTTCGGAAAGTTGCAAATGCACGCAGGATTTGTCAGGTGTCAGGCATGACCGTGCGTTCTGGGTCAAAACAGAGTGCTCTCAACGCAAAGGACGCTTAAATGTTTTCAGCATGCATGTTTTCCCCACAACTCATTTTCCAGCGCACGTCCCGTCCATTTGCGTGTTATATCCTGGTGGTCTCGGTTAGCAGGTGCCGTTTCTCTTGGATCTGCGCGTAGTGACAGATAGCTGAAGCATTGGAGACTGCGGGTTTCCTGTGCGCACCTTTTTTTCCTCAATAATAACAACACGATGCGTTTGCGTGCGCGCACGGCCCGGGACTGAACGACTTGGCTCGGTTGTATCGGTTTGTAAAAAGCTCCGGCCCCCTCCTTCACGCGGACCCCCTTTCGCCACTATGGATGAGTGTATCAGACAAAGGCAGTAGATTCCAGCACTTTGTGATTCGCTCAGATGAAGCTCCATCCGCCTGTCACTCCAAAAAGGGGAGGGAGAAACCCAGTGCATCTGAGTCAATGAGAGAGAGAGAGTTTAGTGGAAATTGAGAGAGGATGAGAGCAAATAATTTGCTTTTCTATGTGATAATGCTACTGTCAAAATCAAATATGCGCATTTTCTTCAATGCAATGCAATGATATCATATTAGTTTTACAATCAATTCAATGACAGTTAATTGTGTAATATGCGCTGAATTAAAACATGGATGTTTATAAACACTCAGAATGAAAAGATAGGCTGTAGCACCTGAGGCCTTTGGAATATAATGCCAAATAAGCGTCTAGCTGGAAAAGCGCAGCTCTAATGTCATTAATGGGGAGGTCGATGGTGTGATTATGGTTTGATTTAAACACCATCTTGTTTTGATTTGCTGCGCTTGTCTCTGCGGTGAGCCGCTTTTGGATCGGGTCAGACTCACGGAGACTGGCTGTAGGTGGCGCTCTGTCGTCTGCAAGCCCTCCTGAGAAACAGCAAAACAAGGGTTGAGGAAATAGATAAATTAAGTTTTAGTGTTTGATGCAATATTTTTTTTTAAATAGTTTTTAAATTAATTGTTATGTTCTTGCATTTTTTTTTTCGTCTCGATTGTGGAGCAGTGCTGTTTTGATGTTCTTCAATCTCAGTTTAATATAGCATTCATTCTTTTTTCAGTTTTATTTTGCTGCGCTTGGAGACAAGTGTAGCCCTTGTATCCACATTATTAACAGTAACTTTTGCCAAGAAAAAATGGCTCAGAACGTGTTCAATGCTCTCGGGGGGGAAAAAGACTCTCAAATTAGTTAATGTTTGGCAAATTATAAGTAAATTGAAGTACGTAAACGTCTGTGGTGTTGCATGGTAAAGTGTATACTTTCACTTTTGTATTTAACAGCTCAATAATTAGACTATAGCGTAACTTCTTGCAAGATTTTACTTTATTTTAGTTTTCGATAGTGTAGGCTTAATTAAATTCTATTTTTTAACCCTCAGATATATGCAATTAAAATACTTTGCCTACTGGGGGGCAGTATTAAACGAAAAAAAATAAATTGCACATTTATTTCTTTATTATTATTTGATAGGTGTCATTCTTAATAAAATAAAATAAATAATTAATTATTTGAAATTTAGGAACGTTTATGTATAAATAATACAAAATTAACTATTGAAAAAATAAAATTTAAATAAAAAGTTTTGAGAAAAGCTAAGCCGAAATAGATGAGGAAATCATTTTATGTAAAATATTAATGAAGAGAATATGACCTCATATAATATTTACAACTTTTTAACGTATTTTATATTTATTAGTTGATGCGCGAGCTCTGTGGTGTTTTTTTTTTTTTTTTTTTTTTGTATAAACAAAGATTGCAATACTTTCTTGGCTCTATAAAGCGGCAGTAAAGTGGAAATGTTTTGGACGGATCTCTAAGGGACGCAGGGGGCAAGTCGGCTAGTCTGCCTCCTAGTTAGGTTAGAGGATGATTTTTCTTTCTCCTGGTGTTTTTGGAGGAGCTTCTGGTACAATATGTAGCACTGCGGGCTCTAATTTCACCCTCCGTTGCACACCTTCCCCAAAGCTAGGCTTTTTTTCTCTGTGAGACCCCCTCCCAGCCTTTCCCCCCTGCCCTTGTGCTCTCTGCGTTTTTTTCGCTCTTTTTTGTAGACTTCTAAAATTAAGTGTTAGTGTTTTTGTCACCCTTGGAGAAATTTCACAGTGAATTTGAGCAGGCACTGTAAATCATAACAGGACTTTGGCGTTGTGTATCGAGTCCGTCAGGGTCTTAGACACAAAAAAATGCTTATTAAAACCATCCAATATATCCAAAGTGTGTGCGTGCGTACACACACACACACACACACACACACACACACACACACACACACACACACACACACACACACACACACACATATATATATATATATATATATATATATATATATATATATATATATATATATATATATATATATATATATATATATATATACTGTGTATAATGTATCTGGCTCTGATAGTCCCATGGAAAAATAGAATACAAGCAAAGTAAAATGTAAAATAAAAACAAAACAAAAAACGTTTAACACTTAATTTGATTATGGCCCTGCGACCTGACAGTGAGTAATCCATCATCTCTGCGGCGCTGTACGGATCTCTCCAAACACAGACGGAACCGTACACATGAATCCCGCAGATGAATCTCTCCGCTGCTCTGCTCTCCTCTGTTCTCCTCGTCGTTCTGCTGAGCATTGAAGAAGCTCATTTTGCCAGAGGTGAAGATATTTCCTCCTTCTCTCAGCCTCCCGTTCTCATGGTAACGTCACTGATCGATCAGAGCACGAGCACTTCATTACCGAGCATCAGCAGAAGCCAGTCTCACTCCAAACACCACTTCGACGCATAACAAGAAGTTGCGCATCTTATGTTTTAAATCAAGAAAACTTTAATAATTTAAAGATCTTTTATCGAAGTTCACAACTGTAGTTGACATATATATCCCAAATATTTTATCTTGTATTCCTCTAAACGTGCTATAATTTGATACAAAGCCATATGCAATATAATTTAGATATCCATGTTATATATCAAATTAGTTATGTATGAGTTATATATCATATATGTTATTAATGAAACATATAACATGAATACCAATTACTTAATTATAATGCATATGAACTTTATATACTCTACAAAAATACAAGATAAGAGAATAAATAATTAAAATAATACATATAATTTCAATTTCATTTGGATCTATTCGAATATTTATTTCTTTGTTATTATTTTTATTTTATGAAATATATAAATTGCAGTTCTTTATTTTGGCTAAAAAAAGCACCCTTTAAACAAATAAACCGCTTGGCACACACATACAAGCTATATAGCTAATCAAGCACAAGCTGAAAGTGTAAAATGAAGGGATTTGGGCCTTGAGCTTGTGTTGTGAGGCGGACAGATGGAGGCTTCACGCAAGAGATTGATTCTGCGCTCGCTTTTAATTTCGACATAATTAATTAGATCATTACAACAGTTTTCCATTGATCTTGCCATTTAGGCCCAAAATTAAAAGGTGAATCAGTTAGCTGTTAGATATATGTTGTCTATTAACAAAGGCATATTAGTACGTAAATGGAAACATGCATGCACGCGCGCGCACACACAGTGCAATTCGGTGCTAGTAATGTGTGTGCTGAGAAATACAGCCTACCAATACACATCACCGTGACAAATCATGCGAATTATGGCACAGTTTATCAGTTTGTTTATTCGTCTTTTCATTTTCTAAATTAAGAAAGCGCATAATTATCTTACAAAATCAACAAAAAACGAAGCCTTTCTTAAAAGTGTGTCAGAAAAAAATACAAATACGCATTTGCATTGTTATTTATTATTACCTTTTATCGATTAAAAAAGTGTAACTGGTTTCAACATAATACAATACAATTGATTTATTACTGCATGAATGTAATCCCAGTCTTCAGTCGTGGTTATGCAGGGTTCAGCATGTGTTGTCTAAGTACATTCACACACCATTTAAAGTTACGGCCTCAATGAAAAGCATCAAAAATTACACCGAGAAATGAAAGTTCAATATTTAACATTTACTACTGTTCGGCCCACGTTTTAGACCATAAACCTGATTTCGCAGAATTATGACTTTTAGAGCCCAGTCGTAAAACGCAATACGCCGAAAATATAAATTAGGAAACGAAATGAGAAATTCTTCACAGATGAAAAAACAACAGCGGGATGATCATGATGATGATGATGATGATGATGATGAGTCCTGTCTCTCTGTCCCTCCTTCTCACTCTTCTTTTATCTCTTCAATACTAAAAATAGAACACAAACCTGTTAAATTTCTTTGATAACATAACATGAGCTATAATTTATAATAAATATATTTTATAATAAATATTTTGTTGCATGTTTCATGGAATCTAAAGGCTATTAATTATCTTTAAGCTGCTTTAGCACAATCTTCATTGTTCATTCATTCATTTTTTCTTTCTTTCATTCATTTATTAATCCGGGGTCGTCACAGCGGAATGAACCACCAATTTATCCAGCACGTTTTTACGCAGCAGATGCCCGCAACCCATCTCTGGGAAAACTCTTCATTGTAAAACACACAATATAACGAATTGTATTGGTCTTAAAATAACGTATAAACAACAAAAAGACAGGGAAAACCCCAAAACAATGTAACTTGCATGCTCTGTTTTATTTTGCTCGTCCCGAAGGCTGATAATCAGGTTAATCTGTCTGATTTTAAGCACACGAGGGAGGTAAAATCCAGCGCAGGAGAGTCACCGGTTCGTCCAATATGCAGATTTAGAGAGAATTCCTAAATGTGCCCTCAAGTGTTTAAATATAAATAGTGTTGAGGTTATGCCTGGCCCTTTTTTTTCTTCCACTGCTGCTGTCAAGGGGAAATGGAAAATTATAAGTCCTTAAACTGTTCACGCTTTACCGGTCAAACTTGTCTCTCATCTGGAACTAAAAGGCGTTCTTGTAAAACGAGCTGATCTATTCTTAGCGCATCTCAAATCAGACGTTAGATTAATCGACTCTGTGTTTTATTAGACATTAGATATAGTCACTAGCTAATGATCTCAAGTTTGAAGACGGTGACAGACCAGTTTTCCCACCGCATGCCCTAAAGCAGCTCCACCAGTGTGTGTGCGTGTGTGAGTGGGTGTGTGAGAGAGAGAGATAGAGAGAGTGTCACACAGCTGCGTTGCTCTGAAGCGACAAAAAACAGCTTTTTTGCACCCTGGTGCAATATGGGAACCAGCCCGTCTGTCCAAGTTGGCCCTTGGGCACCATCCTTCATCC